CAGGTGGTTGTGATACAGGATTCCTCTGGGAGGAATAAGTCTTTTTCTTTTTCTATTAATATATATTTTAACTTTTGATAGTATTACAGATATCTTCCATTTACCCCCCTTCTTCTAACCACCCCACCCCAGGACTTCACTGCCTATTCACTGTGTCCAAGGGCTATATGCATATAAGTATATAAGTTCTTTGGTTTATCTCATATCCTCTCCCCAATCTGCACACTGAGGTATGTCCGTCTGTTCCATGCCTCCATGCTTCCGGTCTTATTTTGTTGGTCTATTCATTTTGTTCATTAGATTCTACAAATAAGTGAGATCATATGATATTTTTCTTTCTCAGTTTGGCTTATTTCACTTAGCATATTATTTTCCAGGTCCATCCATGCCATTCTAAGGGTACAAGATTCCTCTTTTTTATAACTGCATGGTATTCTGGAGTGTAAATGTTCCACAGCTTTTTTATCCATTCATCTACTGAGGGGTACTTGGACTGTTTCCAAGTCTTGAAAATTGAAAATGATGCTGCTATGAACATAGGAGTGCATATATTTTTTCTGATTGGTGCTTGGGATTTTTAGGAAATATTCCCATAAGTGGTGTCACTGATTCAAATGTAAGTTCCTTTCAAAAATTTTTAAGGAAACGCCATACTGTTTTTTTATAGTGGCTGTATCTATCTGCATTCTCACCAGCAGCGAACAAGTGTTCTCTTTTCTCCACATCCTCTCCAGCACTTGCTTTTTGTTGATTTTTTTATGATAGTCATTCTGGTAGGTGTGAGGTGATATCTTATTCTAGTTTTAATTTGCATTTCTCTGATAATTAGTGATTTTGAGCATTTTTTCATATGACTCTTGGCCATCTGTATATCCACTTTGGAGAAAAGTCTATTCAGTACCTTGCCCATTTTTTTAATTGTATTTTTTGTCTTCCTTTTGTTGATTTGTATGAGTATTTTTTACACTTTGGATATTAGCCCCTTATCAGAAGTATCATTGGCAAATATGTTCTCCCATACAGTTCCCTTTTCATTTTGATGGTGGTTTCTTTTGCTGTGAAGAAGCTTTTTATTTTGAACTAGTCCCATTTGTTTATTTTCTCCTTAATTTCTTTTGCCCTAGGAGATGTATCTGTAAACATATTGCTATGTGAGATGTCTGAGATTTTACTGCCTATTTTCTCCTCTAACATTTTTATGGCTTTATGCTTTACATTTAAGTCTTTTATCCACCTTGAGTTTATTCTTGTGTATCGTGTAAGTTGGTGGTCTAGTTTCATGTTTTTGCATGTGTCTGTCCAGTTTTCCCAGCACCATTTGTTGAAGAAATTGTCTTTACTCCATTGTATGTTCTTGCCTCCTTTGCCAAATATTAATTGACCGTAATGATGTGGGTCAATTTCTGGGGTCTTTGTTCTGATCCATTGGTTTATATGCTTGCTCTTGTGCTAGTACCAGGCTGTTTTGGTTTTAATGCTGTGTAGTACAGTTTGATATCTGGTATTGTGATCACTCCTACTTTGTTCTTTTTTCTAAAGATTGTTGCAGCTATTTTGGGTCTTTTAAGGTTCCATATAAATTTTCGGAGTATTTGTTCTAGCTCTGTGAAGTATGCCATTGGTATTTTAATAGGGATGGTGTTGAATCTGTAGATTGCTTTAGGTAGTATAGACATTTTAATGATTTTAATTCTTCAAATCATGAACATGACATATGCTTCCATTTTTTTGTATCTTCCTATATTTCTTTTTTCAATGTCCTATAGTTTTCCAAGTACATGTCTTTGACATCCTTGGTTAAGTTTATTCCTAGGTATCTTTTTTGTTGTTGTTGCAATGGTAAATGGTATTGTTTGTTTAGTTTCTCTTCCTGAGAGTTTATTATTGGTGTATAAAAATGCTATCAATTTGTGGATGTTGATTTTGTATCCTGCTACCTTGCTGGATTCATTTATTAAGTCTAATAGTTTCCTGGTGAAGTCTTTAGGGTTTCTTGTGTACAATATTATGTCATCTATGAACAATGACAGTTTTACTTTTCTTTTCCCACTTTGGATACCTTTTATCACTTAATGTCTGATTGCTGTGGCTATGTCTGCCAGTACTATCTTGAATAAGAGAGGTGGAAGCAGACATCCTTGTCCTGTTCCTGTTCTTAAAAGAAACACTTTTAGTTTTTGCCCATTGAGTATTATGTTGGCTGTAGTTTTATCATATATGGCCTTTATTATGTTGAGGTATGATCCCTCCATTCCCACTTTACTGAGGTTTTTATCAAAAAAGGGTGCTGGATTTTGTCGAACGCTTTTACTGCATCTATTGCTATGATATAATTTTTAGCTTTCAATTTGTTTATGTGATGTATCACATGTATTGATTTGTGAATATTGTACCAGTCTTGCATCCCCAGAATAAATCCCACTTGAGCATGGTTTATGATCTTTTTAATACATTGCTGGACCTGATTTGCTAATATTTTATTGAGGATTTTAGCCTCTGTATTCATCGGGGATATTGGCCTGTAATTTACTTTCTTTGTAGTGTCTTTATCTGGTTTTGGAATTAGGATCATTCTGACTGCATAAAAAAGAGCTTTCTCTTGAATATTTGTAATAGTTTGAGGAGGATAGGTGTTAATTCTTTGAATGTTTGGTAAAATTCTTCTATAAATCCACCTGGTTCAGAACTTTTATATGATGGAAATTTATAATTTACTTCTTCAATTTCATCAGTTGTTATTGGCCTACCCAGGTTTTCTGATTCTCCCTTGTTGAGTTTTGGAAGATTTTATATTTTTAGGAGTTTGTCCATTTTGTCCAGGTTGTCCAATTTGTTGTCATATAATTATTCATCATATTTGCTTACAATACTTTGTATTTCTGTGCTGTCATTGGTGTATCTCCTCTTTCATTTCTTTTTTTATTTATCTGGGTCCACTTTTTATGTTTCTTGATGAATCTGGCTAGGGATTCATCAATCTTGTTTATCTTTTGAAGGAACCAGTTTTTGGACTTATAGAACTTTTGTACTTTTTTTTCTCTCTATGTCATTTATTTCCTCTGTGATCTTTATTATTTCCTTCCTTCTAATTCCTCTGGGCTTTTTTCCTGTTCTTTTTTTAATTAAATTAGTTTTAGGGGTAGATAATTTATTAGTGCTTTTTCTTGTTTCTTGAGGTAGGCCTGTAGTGCTATGAACTTCCCTCTCAGAACTGCTTTCACTGTGTTCCATTGGTTTGGGGTGGTTGTGTGTTCATTTTCATTTGTTTCCAGGAGGTCTTTAATTTTTTGCTTTATCTCATTGGTAACCCATTCATTGATTGATAATATGCTATTTAGCCTCCATGTATTTTAGTGTTTTTGAGGGTGTTTTTTTAAATTGTAGTTGGCTTCTAACTTCACGTCATTCGATCTGAGAAGATGGTTGGTATTACAGCAATCTTTTTGAATTTCTGTAGACTTGTTTTGTGCCCTTAAATGTGGTCTACCTTTGATAATGTTCCATGTGCACTTGAGAAGAATGTGTATTCTGTTGCTTTGGGGAGAAATGTTATATAAATATCCGTTAGGTCCCTCTGATCTAGTGTGTCATTTATAATCTCTGTTTCCCTGTTAAATTTTTGTCTGTAAGACATATCCAGTGATGTCTGAGGGTATTAAAGTCCCTTACTATGGCTGTATTGCTGTCAATCTCTCCCTTAAGTCCATCAAGAGTTGTTTTTTTAATGTATTTGGGTGCTCTTATATTGTGGCATCAGTCTTATTCAAGGACTGTGCTGAAAAAGTTCTTCCTTCTGGGAGAAACAGACTCTCAGATGTGGTTTTGGTTGCCTACCATGGTCCGGGCCTGTGCTTAACAAATCCTGCAGACTTCAAGAGAATACTGAATAGAAATAGGGAAAGAGCTATATAGATGATTTTGTATT